GAAGTACCGAAGACTGGCCTTACATCTTGTACCAATTTACTGAGTATCTTCATATCTAAGCTCAACAACCAGCTGATCTCCGAACATCACTCCCGTTTTTTCTGGCTAAGGTAAACTCGTAACAGTTCAAGCATATGAATTAACGTGTTTACGTACATGCGTAACGTTTTGATGACAAAATAACGTAAATCATATCATTAATTTCAAAGTTGGAAAAAAGGCAACAGTGGAAGTTAATAATAATCAAATACAAAAATGAACTTTACACGTAGAGCTGTTTCTTGTGATATATAAATTCTATTTAAAGTACATATTAGATACCTACTTTTCAAACTTCAGTATTACTGCTGAGATGGTGGAGAAAATTTGCAGATCAGGTGGATGATTGTGGTTGTGTTTCGTTCTCTGAGCTGGATCCTTTGGTTGTGAAGCTTTCATTGTTCTCTTTCTATACAACATCATCAGCACAAACTTCAAAGGGAAGTGAAGTATTCGAATTTCTCCAAGTTTGACCTGTAGTTTGTTGTGCCAACGCCGATCTCGATTGGTTGCTGTCGACCTTAGATCTGTCGTTGTTTGCATCTTTGTTTTGATCGTATCCCCTCCTTTTGATCTGTTTCTTGATCCTGTGTCACCTGTGATTTTCCTAATTGATTGAAAAATTGGATCACTATCGATGTGTTTGTTAATTGCTGAATGACCTGAGTGCCAAGCTTCTAAAAATTCTCTAGTGTTCTTTGTCCTCCCTCTATCCAGTATTTCTACATTGTTCCAATCGAATATATATCCATAATTGTAGATATGTATTGATAGAGGCGAAGCGTTGTCGTGGCTTTTGACTGGTAATTGATGTTCACGTCCACTTTGTCCTGTGTAGTGTTTTTCACAATCTTAGCCTTTGTTTATTTTGTAGATGATATTTGATTTTTCTTCCTTTGTCATTTTGTCCTTAGGTCTACATTGATTTTGTGGGTTCTTCGGTTATTGCTACCGTAGTTGAGAATAATGTCTATGTGGGTTGGTTTCCGAAATACTTGATTTTCTAGTTTTCCTGTGTTAGTTCTGGTTATTAGAATATCCAGGAATTATAGACTGCTGTTTGGTTCCTTTCCCATAGTGAAGTTGAATTCTATTCATCCACCTTTGACCTACTTTAGTTATCATATTTTATAAATTTTCCTACTACTATCGGTTCACCTATCTTCCTACTATCCACTGGTACTTTTACCTTTTTCATTTCATTGTGATTATCACTCATAGTGAATTTCATGTCATCGAAGACGTTGTTATTTCGATTGTAGATGTTCTCAAAACAAAGGTGAAAACAACGACAGGTTTAAGGTCAACAGTAACCAATCAAGATCGAGGTTAACACATCAAGCTACAGGTCAAACTTCACTTCTGTCTATCTGAAGTTTGTGCTGATGATGTTGTTCAGAAAGAGAACAATGAAAGCTTCACAACCAAATCATCCAGCTCCGAGAATGAAACACCACCACAATAATAATGCTTCATAAACTACGTGAAACTCGGTAGTTCAATGGAAAAACACATTTTTTATGATATAGGAAAACTAAAGGTTTGGATGTCAGAAATGAAACATTCAAGTGTCTCATTGATAAATGTTAGGCGTTCGCGCGCAATACCCAAGGTCCTAGGTTCGAATCCTGCGAGGTGCAGGAGTAGTGGATGCACACTGATGAGGAGTCCCATACCAGGACGAAACACCCGTCCAGTGCTTCCAGGTTTGTAATGGTGGTCTAACATTGATCGATTCATGGTTTCAAAAATTTGTAACTTAACAATCTTTACAACCCCGTAATGCAAATAATCATTGGGCATGGAAGTTTCCTTTGATTGTTGTAAAGATATGAACCTTATAAAAAATACTATTGACAGTCAGTCGTCATCATATCAGTTTGAACTAACAAACAGGCACCAATAGACTGACTTCACATCAAAGATTAAACTCAAAATTTTGCATAGTCAGCTAATTTTTGATGTCGTTTCGAATGAGTCAATCTTTCTAAATACCTTAATGTTTACAATGAATAAGATTGGAGTTTTGTTCAAAGACTGGCCATATATAACTCGCTAGCCAATCAAAATATTTCCTAGGCTAATAAGTAATTTTCATCCAATCACTGTGAGATATTCTTTTTCCTTATATATATAACTATATATATATACCTAGTAAATAGGGGAAAAACACATGTAATTCAGTAATCTCTAATGATGTGTTGAAATATTTTGACATGCTTCATATCATTGTGTCAATGAATTAATTAATCAGTGTTCGCTTTTTCGCTTATATCTAAACCAAGTGTACGTGTTTTCGAATTTTGAACTGAGAGAATTCAGTGTGAGAACAGTCAACTGGTTATATCACATCGTTGCAATAATAAGGCAGAATCGTGTATATTGAAGAAAAATAATGTTTTTTTGAATACAACGAGTATAAAATCAATCACGTTTTTATACTTTTCGTCATTCGGATGATAAATTTTTGTTAACAACTATTATGAGCACAAAAGCGAATATTATTAGTATTATTGATTTCAACAATATTGAAAATTGATCTTGAAAATATATTTTCGTAAGTTGATTTTTTGTGAGGTTGAGTGTTTGTTAATTCTAATTGTAAATAATTGAAAAAAAGTCGAATGAATTGATATTGGAATCATAAATGAATCATTGATAGATTACTGGCATTAGGAACGTAGAAGCACTGAACACTGATGGTTCGTCCTGGTATGGTAATCATCACCAGCAGTTGCTCGAATATCGTGGGACAATTGAGTAAGCAATGCTGTCGTTAGGAAACGGGTGCTAGGTAAGGATGGCAGGTTAATAGATGAAGTAATGAAAGTTCATCAGTTGAGGTGGTTGGGACATGTGTTACGTATGCCTAGCCACTGACTGCCTCGTCCAGCTATATTTTGCGGTGTAGGAGTAGGTTGGAAGAAAGCTGGGGGTGGCCTGACCGAAACACGGTAGAAATCCATGAAGTCACTAACGAGTGGACTTAGTCATGTCGGTAGGTGTCGACTACCTGGTTGGGGTCCGTGAGATGATAGTAATCGATGGTTAGAGACCCTGAATGACATGGCACAAAACCGTTTGCAATGGTGTAGGTGTTCGATGAAATTCTAACCTTTTAAATTCCTGATCACCTTTATTTTCCTCTGTCTAAATTTACCTCACTGAATTATACTTCTTGAACAACATCTTAGAACCCTAATCTCTCCGATTACTTCTAATACTTTTACTGCCTCTACAACTATGGGATTTGAAGTGATAATTACATCTCTTTACTAATGTGGTATGGAAACTTGAACTGCTGTACTTACGTGCAAAGTTCTACGTTACTGTTGATGATGATGATGACATCACTGGCAGTGCGTATCCATGACTCCTGCTACTCAAAGAATCCGAACCCAGAACCTGCGGTTTCGCCCGCGAAAGCTTAACCTCTAGACCAGTGCGCCGGCATTGATTACTATCGGTTATTGATTTATACAATTATTTTAGTGGGATAATTAAAAACAGTTTCCGTTTAATAGATGATAATCGAGTTGTTTTTTTTATCGGATAAATGTCAGTTTTTTGCTGAACAAGTGATAATTTATTAATCTCTAGTGGTAATGTAAAGTATTTTCAGTAACATACTATTTATTAGTGTGAATCAAGTCAATAAATCATGTTAATACCATAGTGAATGAATACAAACTGTACTAAGGTGCTTTAATTCAAATAAACGAAAGACAAACCCATTAAAATATCCAGTCGTTTGATTACGATCATGAACGTTTATTGATACAAAAATCCCAGAAAATAATAAAGTAGCTCAGGTTTTTACAAGTCATGTAAAACTAAACTGTTAGGGGTGAGTTTATATGCACATTTTTGAATAAAAGTAATCAACGTGACATGTGAATAATTGACAAGGTCAAATATATATTTGATAGATTTAGTGAGTTGATCAGTAATAATAAATGACGTCGGAATTAATACAATAAATATAATTTTGAAATCATCAATCAATAATTGTTAGACCACCATTAGAAACCTGAAAGCACTGCATGGTCCTGGTATGGGACTACTCATCAGTGACAGTGCGCATCCACGACTCCTTCTCTTCGCATGATTCGAACTCGGGACCTTCGTTATTGTGCGTGAACACCTAAATATCAGACCACTGAGCCGGCATCCAACAGTGTTAATGTCTAACTCTGATTGATCTACGGATTTTGCGCAACCTCACCCATTTGTCTTTGGTAGTTACTGCCTACACCCGACAGGCTTGAACTCCACTGGTCATGTCTTCTCAACTAGAACTCCGAGAGTTTCCTCACGAAGCTAGTCACTAGTGAGCACTGTTACGATATTTTGGGGCAGAGTTTTGGTGGTTTGTGTTTTTACACATTTGAAATCATCAATCAATCATTGTTAGACCACCATTAGAAGTCATGGATAAGTCCCATACCAGGACGAAACGGCCGTGCAGTGCTTCCAGGATAGTTATTATCATGAATATTTCAAATACTGTTAGTATACATAATGAGTAATTCACCTAACCGCATCACAAGACAAGCTCTCACTTGGAATCCTCAAGGTTAAAGGAAAGAAATAAGACTAAAAAGCACATTACGCCAAGAATTGAAAGCAGTCATGAAAAAATGGACAGCAGTTGAACAAGCCTAGAAAAGAAGGACCTTGACAAAGTAGGTTGGAGAACGCTAGTTAAGGGCTTATGCTGCGTTTAGAGGTAACTGATGCAAGTAATTAAGAAATCGATTATCCCAATTACTAAACGTCATCAAAGCTATCACCATCGATCTATTTTTTTACTGCAAATTCATTATTTTAACAACATTTATTTATCGTTCAAAGTGAGTTTTTATTATTCTCAAATAAAATTCAACTATTTTTGTTTTAATGTATAAATTTCAAGGGAAAAATTAAATACTAACTGTGTTCTTTTCAAACGAACACATAGAATGCAAATGGATTATTTTACTTCAGAATGGTTTCTATCAAATATATTCTGGTTAATTATAATTCCAAATCATTTGCAATTCTACGATGAATTTCCATTGAACACATTTGTCAATGCTGACAATTCAATATTCAATAACATTGAAAATAGTAAACCTATTGACAATAAACACATTCATAACAATGAATTGACTCTTACGCATTATACTATACAATATACTATGACAGAAAATCAACCGTATCATTTTCAAATCGGTAAAATTAATTCGGATCTTTTAAAAATACCAGAAATTTTAAAATCCAGCCATCTGTTCAATTTATTGACAGGATTAAATAAACACAGATTATTGTATAAATTACCAGAACCATCAAATTATGTAGAATTAAATGAAACAACAAGTATCCTATACACAAAGAAAATTATTGATCTAGAAAAATTATGTCCAAAATATTGTAAAGAGAATACATTCTATGCTCAGTTCAATATTCAAATCAATGTATGGTTCAATGTCCAATTAATCTGCATAGTCAATGTTCAATTATTGATCACTGATCTCGATGATAATGTACCACGATTTCCACTGACTATACCAAGACCATATCGTTTGAAATTGAAAGAAGTGATTTATCGTATTGGGAAATATGTAGAATTACCTAAAGCACAAGACGTGGATATTAAACCTAGTCATGCAGAAATTGTTTATCGATTAGATTCATTGCCAGAATATAAATGGAATGTATTGGATACATTTCGTTTAGTGATTAGTAATGATTCACGTCTTTTACTTGTATTACAACGTAATTTAGATTATGAATATATAAAAGAATATAAATTTTATTTAATTTGTTCTTCACCAAGAATTATAGGATTTAATTATTCATCCACATTGAATATAGAAGATCGTTTAGAAATTATTATTGAAGTATTGAATATAAATGATATTGAACCAATGTTTTCAAAAACAGTTTATGAAATACAAATTATGGAAAATACTCCAGTTAATTCAATTATTTATGAGGTAAGTAAAGATGAGTTTTGTTAAAGATGATGACTATAATGAGTATTAAGGGATAATCATTTTCTTGTTATGTTCAAATTCTATATTCATTGGCTAGTCAGTGAGTATCAATCTCGTTCAGTTAGACAATAACACTGTTGGATGTTGTCCAGCTCAGTTGTCTAGAGGTTAGGCGTTTGCACACGGAACTGAAAGTCGTGGATTTGAATGATTTCGCAGCGGTCGCGAATGTGCACTGTTGACGAATCTCATACTGAAACGAAACGGCCATTCAGTGCTTCCAGATTTTTAATGATAGTCTAAAATTAATTGATTCTTCATTCCACTAGTTCACATTAACATATTTAAATCATGAATCGATCAAGCAGTCATTGTTAGAGTACCATTGGAAACCTGGAAGCACTGGAAACGGCCGTTTCATCCTGATGTGGGACGCTTCGGAAGTGCGCACTCACTACTCCTGCACCTCGCGGGTTTCGAACCCAGGACCGTCAGTCTTGAGCGCGAACGCCTAACCTCTGATCCACTGGGCCGGCATCCAACGATGTTAATGTCTAACTCTGATCAATCTAGAGATTTTACACGACCTCACACATTTGTCTTCGGTAGTTACTGCCTACACTCTACAGCTATTTATTGAATCCGATAGTATATTATTTATGAACTTGTAGTTAAAACGCTAATCTTAACTGACTCAATAATGTAGGCATCAAGATCAGGAGATTTTTTTTCAACAGCCTAAAATCACTACTTTCAAATCTCGTTTATTTTTTTAAAAATTTATATTATATTTGACCAAATAAATTATTAATGAATACATGGACCACTCCAATAAATTTCACTATGTAATCTTTTTTCTCATGATTCTTCATAGATTTCCGAACAATGTTTCTTAAGATGAAAGATGAACTAGTGATTTTGAGTAACTTATGCACTCAAAATAAGGATTTGATTAATGAATACACACTTCTGAATAATCTTATTTTAGGAGAAAATGAATGTCCTTTAGTGTGTTTAGTAATATTTTGAATCCACCTGGCTTGTTGTAGAGTATGAACAAACTAATTAGCCTTCCTTGCCCAAATTACTATTCACATGTCTTTTGATCACCTGATTAAAATCTTGGTTGTTTTGCTGTGGGTATGTGTTCCTACTGGTTGCACACGTACTTCATTTAACACATAAGTAGCTTATTATCGTCGGAATATAAATACTTAGTCTTGCCTCATCGTAAAGAGTTGTATGACTAGCCATCTCCACTTCACTTTGCTTCGCTTCCCTTTTATGTCTGCATGAACGAATCCGTATTTAATTTCTCATTGTCGCTTAAATATAATAGATGCAAATTAGAGGGAAAATTTATTTCCTACCCTAGCCAATCATCCGCCCGAATCGGAATCAGATCTCTGGCCAATAAACTCCATTGCTTCATTGTCTTAACGTTCCCCCCAGTTGAATTCAGTTTAAGGCACAGCAACACTTCAAAATTCCGTAATCATCATCACTCCTCTAATTATTCAATTCAATGTAGTTTTGAGATATTTTAGAAAAAATATTGATTTTTCTTCAAAACAGGACAAAAATGACAAGCAACAGAGACAATGAGAAGAATAATTTCTATTCAAAATATTTATAGTCTTACGTTAAATAATAATACTCATCAACGAAAAATATAATTTCCAGGTCATATATTTATTAGTTTTGATTCTAAAATATAAATAAAATATCAGTGAACCATTTAAAATCATTTATTTGATTCACTAATCATATTCTCGATAGAATGCGCACATATTCAATCATAATATGTAAAAAGGCACAAGTTGATAGTAAACTGACAATTATTGTAGGATCCAATATTCATCATAAATATAAATACATACATCATTACCTAGACAAATATTGCCACTCAACTATTCCACCGACAGTTGTTCAATTAATCAAATCAACAGCAACAGATAAATGATATTCTATCCCTCCTGGATAGATCAGATTCGTTCGTGAGATAATAGTTGGTTGCTTTATAACACAGAGTTCTCCTTATTCTGGAAGAGTCCTCCAATTCACAATCAAAATGGACAATTCCAGTCCATGCAAGCAGTTCAGTCAAAAGAGGAACAAATCAATATGGCTGTCGCCATGACTAAGTATCAGCTTAAACAACATAAATACAGTTCAGAAAGAAACATAGAACCTCATTGAAGGCAGAAGAAATAGAAACTATAATAAAATACAAATATAATCATCTCAAAATGGAATGGAACAGATGTACAACTAAAGGAATCAATAAGAACAAATTACAAATAAATACATGAAGGGATTTTCACAAACAAAGCCTTCAAAAAATGGATCCCACAATTATTATCTTACTTTAAAATTCATCCTGTTTAACAATGTAATTAATCTCATCATTGGTTGTTAGTAATTTTACAAACTACCTTCATTTGTTTCATGTATGTTGTCATTTAAGTGTATAAGTATCACTGTATGCTAGAACAAAGGCTTGAATAAAGAGTTGAAGATTAACTGAAGTTAAAAATTAGCAACGTCGGATGCTGGGTCCACTCAGTAGTCTGGAGTTTAGGCGTTCGCATGCTAGACCGAAGATCCTTGGTTCGATTGTTTGTGCAGGAGGGTAGTGGATGCACACTACCACTGATGAGTCCAGTATTAGGACGAAAGAACCATACAGTGCTTCCAGGTTTCGTATGCTGATCTAACAATGATCGACTCATCATTTAAGTAGATAAAAACATGATTTATGAATATCCATAGATATTTACCAAAAACTTACTACTTTTTTTCAGAAATTAAAATACCTATACATTTTTTTGAACGTCTAAGCTTTAATTTATAATTTAGGGGTGATAATGTTGACACAGAGAAAGAATATTTATATGTTCATTTATGATACTAAATGATTATCGGACTGCAGTAAAAAATCAATAATTTTGATAATGTTGTCCAGTGGTTATACGTTTAGTGCAAGATCAATATACATTTTCAATTTTATCAGTACAGAATACTGTGGAGATTTCACATGGTATGAGATGAAACTTCATTCATACTTTTTAACAAAATAAATTCCCTTTATGAAATAAAATCACCAAATTAACTAGAACTCCACGTTGAACCCTTTCAGGGGCTACTTCCGGCTCCTAACCTTTCTAAAGGAAGAATGTCAGGTGTCGGGTTATAGCGACTGCATCACGTTGGAAACTAACTCGCTAAAAAATGCCGCTCAAGCTAATCAACCAAGAGATAATTTTCATTTTGTCAAGGAAGAAAATTCAATAAGATGTACAGGAAAATTAATTATTATATTCAAAGAAATTTTCTCGTAAATTAGATTAGACTAAGTAATAATAACAACACAAAGATCACAGACCACAATAAAGAAACTGTAATCAAGTCACTTAAGTAAGTTCAAAGAAATTCAAGATAATTCAAGAATTAACATGAAACACTTTGAAATATTTAAGTGAAATGGTTAAATATCATCATTAACTTAACATAAATGTAAGTAATCTTGTTAGTGGTTTTGAGAAAATATAAACCGGAAAATAACCGTTTTTTCAGTTAGAGTTTTGGAGATTTGTGTTTTTACACATTTGAAATCATCAATCAATCATTGTTAGACCACCATTAGAAACCTGGAAGCACTGAAAGACGACCGTTTCGTCTTGGTGCCGTTCAGTGCTTCCAGGTTTCTAATGATGGTCTAACAATGATTGATTGATGATTTCAAATGTTTAATAACCATTTTATTATAAATATGATCAATATTCAATCCTTTGGCAAAAGTTAAACCATATTTTAGAAAATCATTTTCATCATGGAATCCGTTGTGATGGCCAGTGTATCACTAGTCTCGTGACGACCGCTATTCAACTTGTTCTTTTGGTCTTCGTCATTTGCTCGTCTAGGCAATGGTCACCGAATAACGCCTGACGGTTATAAATCAGAAGGTGAACACGCAGTATCGAATACGTTTAGTTTTGATACACTACAAAATGGATCAGCAGACCAAAAACATACAGAGTAGGGCAAGCTTACTAGCGGGCGAGTTGGCGATTTGCTGAGTGAATTAATAAGATCGAAATGTACAAATGGAAACATAGGGAAATGTCTGAGTCATCGAAGTATTTAAGAGAATAATATTAAAGAGAATAGGATGAAAATAAGCGTATGCGGTAAGCAATATTCAGTCATACTGTGGTGCGCGCTACTTATAAGTAGTATATGACGTGAGTGTAAACGTAATGTCTGGCAGCAGAAGATGGGAGAATATCAAGAAAGGAAGAGTGGGAACACAATGGAATTTGTATGAAACGCATTAATAAGTGAAATGGATTGATGATTTATTGAAGATTTGCAAATTAACCGTTTACGATATGGTTTTCCTATTTTACTGAGTAACTGTGTAATTTTCGTTAAATACAATTCGGTTGCCCTCACCTGTGTTCTCCTTCACTACAATACCAACTCATATACAAACCAGACAATAGTAAAAACCAAAGGTATACATAAGTTTTTGTTATACAAGTGGCTTGGTTAAATGAGTTATTCGAAAAGGTTAACCAAATTAAATATATGAGCGAACTCAAATGTGTGTGGAGGCACCACTCAGTGTGATAACCATGGTGTATTTTCAGGCGACTTTGCTAAATTATTTCGCTTTTATAATGCATTGGTTTCTTTACTGGTTGTATGCCACTCTCGTAAAAATGTGCATCGCACGTTAGATTCCTTTCGGATGACACGATTCTATAAGAGATTGATAATATTAATAATCGCATAACGAATACTGGTCATTTGCATATTGCATGTTTTTTTCCAAATTGGCTGAAAATTCAAATACTTTGGTGAATTACTATTTAAATCAGATAATCACCGAAAATGTTAGCACCCTCAATGAGCATAGATTCCCTTAACCTAATATATTTATTCTGTTGAGGATCTTAGATCCCCAGAACTCGCTCTAGAAATGTCTTTATTTTGGA